AGGACCGGGCTGAATACACGGCGCTAACAGGCTAGCACCCGGCTAAAAACACGGTACTAACACCTTGCTATATACACGGTGCTAACAGGCTAACACCATGGTAAACAATAAGGTGCTAACAGGCTAACATGTTGGGAGATGTGAGATGCTGTAACTGCTCATTAATCTTTCACTCTATTATGGAAATAAATGGTCGGACAGGTTTCTGTACAGACTGGCGTCCGTCGGTCCTGTGCTCGTCCACATTTGTATGACAGAACAGTTGTTCTCTGTGTCCTGGAATCAGTCTGATTTATGCGGATCTAAAGGTTCTTCCCCGCAAATACCAGTTCTCAGGACCGTGAAGGAGACAGAACTCAAATGGTTTCTTGGTTATTCTGAGGAAACACTGGCTGCAGTTCAACTGAAACTGAATGTTTCCTGTTGGTCACAGCTGGGTCAGTGGTGGAGGATCAGAACCAGGAGGAGGAAGGTTCTGGTTCTACAGGATCAGAACCAGGAGGAGGAAGGTTCTGGTTCTACAGGATCAGAAGGGAGGAAGGTTCTGGTTGTACAGAGATCAGGACCAGGAGGATCCAGGAGGAGGGAGGAAGGTTCTGGTTCTACAGAGATCAATGCTGGTCCTGATCATGTTTCTGTTTGTGTGTCAGTCAGCTGCTGAAGGATCCCCAGGTTCTGTTTGCTGGTTATAAAGTTCCTCATCCTCTGGAGCACAAGATCGTCATCAGAGTGCAGACTACACCTGACTACAGCCCACAGGTAACACACACACACACACACACACCTACCTGTCCACGGTGATGATGTCATGCTGACAGGTCCCTTGTGTCTGACAGGAAGCGTTCACCAACGCCATCACTGACCTGATCAGCGAGCTGTCGCTGCTGGAGGAACGTTTCCGAGTCGCCATCAAAGACAAGCAGGAAGGCATCGAGTGACCACGCCCCCTCCTGATGTCACCATTTGTTTATTGTTGACTTTTCTAAATAAAGACTGATGTCACCCCCTGCACGACTGTTTGTGATGTAAGTGCAGGTGCTCACAGCTGATTGGCTGATGTTTCCGGTTACTGGTGACTGATCTGAATCCACTTACGTGTTCATATCTACATGTGAACGTCAGCACTCAGGTGTTCACAGACAGACTACCAGTTCTGACCGGTCCAGCTGATGGACAGAAGCGGAAACATCTTTGAGTCACAAACAGATTTTATTTTTTTAAAAAGAAAAACAAAAAATAAAACAGCATTAAAATGAAAACTGAAATGAGCCAATCAGATCAGAGCCAACTGCTCACATGATCAGTGTCTCCTGATTGGCTGCAGGACTCCAGGAGACCCTTCATGGGTCGGAGTCTCTCTGGGCCTCCATGGCTCGCTGCATCTTCTCCACCATCCACAGAGGAACCGAGAACGGCTTCATCTCGTCCATCCTGACATCCGGACAATCCCTGCACACACACACATTACCATGGCAACTACCATCTTAGTATTATCCTGCTAGCTAAGCTCAAGCACACGCTTCATTCAAGGGACAAACCACAAACGCACCGTTCACAGCAGCCAATAACTGATCAATAACCTGTCAACAAAACAGAACTGGGAGGGGCCTCTGACCTACACCTGGACCCAGGGGCCTCATGTATCATCAGTGCACACCAGCATCCCCAAAGTATGGAGTTTATCAACTTGTACTTAGGAATGTGTGTAAATACACACACAGCTCTGACCATGCATACACACATGATCCAGCCGTAGACCAGCGAAACCAGAACGCATTCGGGGGTTTGGCCATCGGCACATTCCAGCGTGAGGTTGGAGACATGCAGCGCTCCCACATCGTATTCAAAGCAGCATCACTAATGAATTTAATCACAATAATAGAAACGGGTTTCATTCACCCAACGTACAGATAATCTGCGCTGCATATTGCTGCCGGCGGCCTGGAGGAACATGACTCATTCATTGAGCAGAACAGTTCTGTGGGTCTCCAAGCAGGAGCTGCTGAAGACGGCTGGCTTATTGGTGAGTGTCACAGAGTGGAGATGTTTCAGCTGGACTTAGTCTGGTTATTAAAACATCTCATCTGCAGTGATCAGGGTTATCCACTGGGTGGACATTGGCATTAACTCGTCCTTCTCCAGTTGCATCAGTTCTCTTTGATGGGCTGTGATGGGTTTCTTGGTGCTGAGCTTCTGCCGGTGATCTCTGACCAACAGAAGAACTGCGGTAGTGATCTTGTCTCATGCAGTGTTTGTTCTTTTGTTGCTCATCCCAACATTTCAGGTACCGAACAATTTCTGGTTAACTTCAACCTCGCTGACTAGTACCCTGATTTCGGTTTCCGGAAAGTTCCTCTTTGTCACGATGATGACCGGTGATGATGAGAGGATGAAATGTGGTGATGTGGAGGTGTGTCTGAAGGCACCACGAGCACGGAGGATCAGGACGAGTGGGATTTACCAACACTGTGGACTTACTGACGTGCGTCTGACCCACGTACACGTTTGATAAATACAGTTTTTTTGAACTTAAGCACATTCTAAGTTTAATTCACTAGACAGAATTTAGAACCTCCTCTAGGCACTGATGATAAACGAGGCCCCTGGCGTTGTCCTTCAGTGATGTCAGACTCACCTGTACTCATCACTGCGGGACAGATCCTGGATGTCCTCCTCGATCAGCAGGTACGCCTGAACACAGAACACGTGATCACAGCGTTAGCTCCGGTGTCGGCCCGTGTGCGTTGAACTGAGCTCAGAGGCTCAGACTGATTTAAACTCACTCATGTAGCTGCTGCAAAGGATTGTGGGTCAGAGTGTCCAGAGAAGCATGACAGTAAACTTCATATTGAACTCACCATCTTCCCTCCTGTGGCCCTCATGTGGTGTCTCTCTGCCAACCACTGCTTGTCCTTCGCATCTGCTGCATACTGACACACACACACACACACACACACACACACAGCTAGTGAGTGCAGCAGACACACAGGTGTGTTTCAGTGTCGGTCTGCTTCCTGTCACCTGTCGGTGGGAGGAGCTATGGAGGAGTTTACCTTGAACAGGTCGGCGTGTTTGATGTAGATCCGCCCTCTGGTCCCGCCCATCCCGAGCGCCCTGCAGTGACATCACAGCATCACATGATCAGTCACCCTGCTGAGCTGTTTGTCATGTGACCCCTTTGTTTACATTGCAGAGCCAATAAAGTATTCTCAAGGCGACCGACACCAACTCTAAACCATCACGTTCAGGGGATTCAAACATTGTTTACACATAATTTACCATCGTTTACAATGTGTTGACGCCACATGAACACCTTTACATGTTGACGGTTTCCTTATTGTTATTTACTGTTTACATGATGTTTATTATAGCCTACACCATGTTTAGAGTGCTGGTGATGTTGACTGTTTTCTACGCTCTTTATGGTTGTTTACATGCTGTTTCTTTGTTATTTACAGAGTCTATACGATGTTTACAGTGTTTACGTGTTGTTTACATGCTGTTTCCTTGTTATTTACAGAGTCTATATGATGTTTACAGTGTTTACGTGTTGTTTACATGCTGTTTCTTTGTTATTTACAGAGTCTATATGATGCTTACAGTGTATATGTGTTGTTTACATGCTGTTTGTTATTTACAGAGTCTATACGATGTTTACAGTGTTTACGTGTTGTTTCCATGCTGTCTCTTTGTTATTTACAGAGTCTATACGATGTTTACAGTGTTTACATGTTGGTTCTGACTCACTTGTTGGCTCTGGAGCCCAGAACAAACGTGCTGCCGTCATTGAGTCTGGACGGATCCCACTGAAACACAAACACCGGTTAGTCATGTGCTGTAAGAACACACTGGGTCCATGTTAAAGTGAACCACTGGAACACCGCCCCCATCAGGTCTGCTTCAAGCACAGCCAAGTAACACCTGTCAGTCTGGAGTGCTCCTTCATGGACTCACCTTTGGCCCCTCCCTCTTGATTGGATCAGACTTGGGCTTCACTCTGAGGACATAAACACAGCCATTGTCAGGTGTGCTGTTCTATCTGGACACTGAGGATGTCACCTGTTAGGTACTCACTGAGAGGAGAAGCTCAGCGGCCGATCAGACGAGACGACGGCACCTGGACGACTTTTCCTCTGAGGAGACAAAATGATCAGCGTCACTGGACCAATCGCATCACATCCCCCTGCCTTTCAGCGTCACACCTGGCAGCTCAGGTGTTACAGTACCTTCTTCAGGAGGGGACTTCCTCTCTGACCGCAGTCTTCATCAGCTGGTCTGGACCTCTGACAGAACACAGAACCAGGTGAGACAGAGTCTGCTCTGCTGTTCTGATTGGTCAGTCTGAGAGCTCCTACCTTGATGGTGACCTCTGGCCCCGCCCTCTTCGCCTCCACCTCTGGAAACAGCTGCTTGGCCTGTTGATGACATCACAGGATACCATGGTTACCACAGACAGTCACAGGTACACAGGTGAGTACAGCAGGTCACATGATCAGGGGTCAAACAACAGGAATTGATCTCACCTGTTCCAGAACATTCCTGCAGGCCTCTCTGATCAGCTGATCGGTCTGAATGTCTTCGCCAACGTTCTCCTTCACGTTCTCAGCGGCTTTCTCAAAGAACTGCAACACAAACACATAAGCTGCTAACACCTGCCCTCTCACCTGCCCCCCTACCCCCCTGCCCCCTTGCACGCTCCGACCTTGTGGTACTTCCTGAACACGGCCATGATGTCGTTGTTGAAGCTGGGCTGAAGCACCGCCCTCAGCAGGTCCATGGACACCTGAGGATCCGTGTAGCTGCACACAGGCACAAACAGCATAGCATGAGGTCATGAGCGCTCACTGACACACCTGAAAGCAACACCTGAGAGGAGCTCATCATAAGGGTCAGAACACGTTACAGCAGCTGAGGCCAAACAGGAAATGACGCTCACTGAAGACTCTGTTCACCTTCAGGTGTACAGGTGGGGCATGACGGACGAACGTATGAACATGTACAGGTATGGCAACGCGCCCACCTTGAGGACCCGCTCAGCGTAGACCTGTTCTATAAAAACTGCTGTTGTTCCACCGTCGGCATCTCGCATCAATAAAGTTGCTACTAGGATACATAACAACAACGAAGTTGCTGATTGGCTGCACCTTCTCTTCCTGTGTCATCATGATGACAGAACCCAGAACCCAGCAGAACTTCAGCAGTACTGAGGCTGCTCCGGGTTCTGTGGTGTTCAGTTGCCATAGAAACCAGCAGAAACTAGAAGATCAATCCGTCAACTATCTAAATAATGTCCAACTCCCCTGATCGTCAGTGAATCAATTTGGGTCACGTCTGAATTCTGCGACTGCAGCTCCTGAAGCGGGAACAGTTTCTGGTTTCTTTTCTCTTTGATGAATTCTGAGACCAAACAGGAAATCGATTCATCCTGAAAATACCCAACTATGAAGAAAACCACTGGGTGCAGAACCCAGCAGAACCCAGTACTGACCTGACCGTCATGTGTGAGCGCCGTCCTCGTCTGTGGATCTGTCTGTGTTTGATCATCAGGTTCCACGGCTTCTACACAAAGGGTTATCAGAGGTTATTGATTACCAATCAGTGATTCACATCAAGCTGCAAAAACACAGCAGAGATGATAACTATGAGCTTAAACTGGTCTGAGGTCTGTACTTCCAGTTCAACTGGGCGCTCAGAGCTTCATGGTTCTTCTTAGATCCGTCCACACAGAACTTTGTGTCTGTGCTGATAGTAAATGTGAAACCAGAGGAGTTCCAGCTCATCGTGACTTAGACGTACTGACAGTAACCGTCATTCAGATGCATCATCAACACTCTAGCATAATAACCGGCCCTGTAGGGTAAGAACACCTGGACTGGTTCTGATGATGTAGCTTCAGACGTTATATTATATTATATTATATTATATTATATTATATTATATTATATTACGCGACAGCCGCGGTATTTTCATAATATAATATAATACAGAGCGAAGCTAAATCGTTAGCCGCCGTTAGCTCCTCACCGGGCTGTGGTCCGGCGGCTCCGGTCCGTCCTGCTCCAGCCAGTCCCGGCCTCCCTCACTGCGGTGGGCTCCCATAGCGAAACAGTGCTGACCCGGTCCAAACAGTGCTGATATAGTCCGATCCGGTGTAACCGAGCTATTTCCGCTAAGCTAACAGCAGCTACAGCTAACAGCAACAACCACAGCTGTTCTTCATCTCCTGCGGTTGTTCAGGCACAGCGGCCGCAGAGAGCCGCGCTGCTGCCCCCTCAGGCCACCAGAGGAACTGCACCGTCTCCGCTACACATGGATTATTGATTTGATTGGTTTGTCACTAAAAGTCCGCTGCAGGACGATTCTGACCGTTTCTGTCAGAGCTGATTCATACTTTCAGTATTTTCCATCATCAGCACCAGCATTCAGAGTCTTCACAGTGACCCAAGCTGAGCTGGTTCTTTACACTCTGCTCCAACTGGAAGGTTCCTGTCCATCCAGCTGACCTGGTACCAGAGGATGTTCTGGCATCAACCACAGAGTGTACAAATACCAAGGACAACGTGTGCCCAGCTCTATTTTAACCTGTAGATGATCAGTAAAGAAAGTCGGACCTTTCAGGATTTGTGGGTTTAATCAGTCTGAAGTACTTTAAATCTGAATTATTCTGGGCGCCCTGCAGCCCAGCGGGTTGAGCGACCCATAAACATGGGCACAGTGGCCATAGATGAAGTTCTTCCCGACGTTTCCTGTCTGTCTTTACTAACATCTGGAATACAGGCAGAATAAGAAGTCTGTGACGGCTTCCTGATAACTCACAGTGTTTCTGGTTGCATTTAGAGGGATCACAGTTCTCTCAGTTTGGAAGTTAAATAGTCTACATTTTTATTATGGAGAGAAAAACCTAGTGGTTTATAATTTATTTACAAATATCAGATTAAATGCTTTTATAATGACAAGAACTGGATGTCGTTTCTCTCAGGTCTGAACGTCTAAATAAAATAAACTCTTGATCTGTTCAACAGCTCAGAAATAATCTATTTGATCATTAAATGTTAAAATATCCAAATACCATTAAACTTATAAAAACAAGTCTTTCCGAGGCAGAACCCTGATGTGTGATTTTATCTGTAAACCAGACTAATTCAGAGAACCACAGAAACTATCACTTTACTTTTACTGTGAAATAACTTCAGTGTTCTCTGAAAACATTATTTAATCTCTGTAAGGAGCCGGTCCATGAACTACGGGTTTCTGATTCTGTCCATTTGCAGGTTGATCAGCTTCCTGTTGTTGTTTTAGCTCCGGTGTAGTTGGAACGCTGACAGGACAAACGATGAGCTTGTCTTCATTATCTGATAAACTCACGTTTGGCTTTCTTGTTCAGCTTCATGTGAGTGTGGAGCAGCAGAAGGACAACAGAAACTGGTTGTACTGGGCTGGATATACTTTTACTGGGAGAGAGAAGCTGCATTTTGTCCACAGGCAGGACGAAGGACAGACTGTATTTACATTCTGCAGCTCAGAGGACCCCCACTTCCTGTTTCAGCTCTGAAGCTCAGCAAGTCGCAACAAACAGACACAAAGACAAAAACTGGAGATAAACGTCTGAGCTGAGATCATTACGACGTCTTTTCTAAGAAATATTTCATTGATCTGACGCGGAAACGTTCTCAGGTCACCTTCACGAGACAAACTCGGCAGAACGCTCTGTGGATACGAGATGCCATCAGAAAGTCCACAGACCGCTCAGGGACGCTTCGTTTTCATCCCCACAGTCCCACTGCCAACACAGCGCTCCACTGCAACGCTGCTCTCCCAACATTACACCCAGGTGGAGCTCTTCTGCTTGGACTCAGAAGCAGGCTGGTCCCAGGTGGAGCCAGCATGGTTCCAGATCAGGACTTCAGGGACTGGTGAAGTGTTGCAGGAGCTCTGGGAGCAGAGCAGCTCTGCAGAGATGGAGGCTGAAGTCAAACCATTCTCTGAACTTTCTGATCTCACCTCATACAACAGCTGTGCATGAAATATTGTGTTCTTGGCTTTATGATACACAGAAAACTACCAAAGTGTTCTCCAACGATGACGGATCAGGCAGAACAGTTCTGACAGGTTCTGTCATGACGGGAACTTATTTCACACAAATCTGATAAAAACAACAGAACCACTCCAGTTTGTCTTCGGTGCTAAACGGGGAACAGTCCTTCATTAGCCTAGCTTAGCACAAACACTGGGAGCAGAGGGAAACTGCTAGCTCTGCTCCAAAACGTCGGACTGCTCCTTTAAACACTGAACCCAGGTGAAGTGAAACGGTCGAGGAACATGATGGTGATTGTTCTGAGAACCACAGTCTGGATCAGGAACATCGCTCAGAGTCCAAACAGTTCATGCATCAGAAAAATAAGAAAAGACACAAAAGCAGAGCGAAGGACAACCGAGGAGGAACTGAGGATTAAAGGAGGACGACAAACTGAAGACAGACGGAGGAGAATCCCAGCTCACTGACTGTACACACAGATATAGATCTTCTTAATAACACTTTGGTTTAGTTGGAAACAAACTATGAGGCTGAAAATACACAGACACGTGTCATCTCTTTAAAAACGTTAAATTAAATCAAATAAAAAAAGAACAGTTTGTGTTTTCAATCAGTTTAACAGCAAAAGAACATCAACAGACTTCAGATCAGTCCGACTGTACACTATCTACACAGCTGATGGAGACGGACGCCTCAGAGGGCTGACGGCCAATCAGAGCGCTGCGGTGTCGGGTTACAGAGGGGGCGGAGCCACAGAGGATGGAGGTCTTCCTCCATTTTGTTTAAAGACCTTCAGATAGACGATAAGATCAGACTGAAGCCAGCGGTTCTCTGAAGAAAGTCAAACCACATCCAAATATTTACAGGAGAAAAAAACAAAAAGCAAAAAACAAACGTGATACTAAAACAACAGTTTCATAAAACTACGAGAAAGAAAGATTAGGACAGATAAACGACAGTCTTCACGAAAAAAGGACATAATGTTGAAAAAGTCGTAGACGAGTACATTTTAGTAAAATATAACATTTAGAGAAACGCTGTAATTTAACATATAATTAGAGAAAACAGCCAAAAAACTGAATCTGTCCAGAGGAGGTTGAAATATTAGTTTAAAAAGTGTTAATACTAGAGCCCGACCGATACGTCCCTCAGCAATACCACTGGACCGTATTAGCTCATCACAGGTATATCGCATCAGCGTAGTAGAAAAGCTTTGAACAGAAAACAGTGCAGACAAAGATCATTTAGAAATGGTTCTGTCACAGTTTGTCCAGCAGGGCGGCTCCACTGTTTCCAGCTCTCAGCACCGTGTGCAGCACATGTAGCAGAGCAGCCACAGTGTGGAGTCAGCAGGTTAAAAAAGTTCATCAACGCCTAGCCAAACACTCCCTCTTACCAGGATAACTCTAACCATTATATATATATATATATATATATATATATATATATTCATACAAATACACTCACTGATAAAGAACACAAGTCAATATATCTGAATACTTTTAATGCCTAAAAATCTTCATCTGCCCCAAAAATTCAGTATCAGTCGGGCTAATATTTTGCTAAGTTGGGCAAAAAATTAAAAAACCTCAAGAAAAAAGACATAATATGTTGAGAAGGTCTAAATGCTCTCAGGACGAGAGAAACTAAGAAATAAGGGATTTAAGAAAAGAGGACAAAGCGCTGAAAAAGTCGTACACAGGAGAAAAGAAACACAAACTGATGATGAAAGAACCTGAAGCATGAACCCTGAAACAACCTATCACACTTCATACTGGAGGACCACCTGTGGCTCCGCCCCCTCTGCAGCAGGACTCCACCCCTCTGAGGAGTCCGTCATCACGCACCAGTCTGAACCCGACTCCCAGTTCTGGCCTCGTCCAGTCAGAGAATATGCTGAATAATCTGTTTCCCACAATCCACCGCGGCCACGCTGTCCAAGGAGGCGGGGCCAGAAGCGGGACGCCGCTTGAGTCCAATAGAAACAATAGCTGCCTTGTCGACCAATCACCGAGGCCCGTCGTTGTGGGGACCAATCCGAGGACGTCCAGTGGTCCCGTCACACGTGACATCACAGGTGAATGAAAAGGTTTTTATTGGTGGAGCTCTGACCAGTTGCTGCTTGTTGATTAACCTCTTCTCATTGGCTACGGTCCTCAACCACACCTGAGTCAGCTGCAGGTGAAGGTAAAGCTCCAGAGTTTCAACCAATCAGATCATCTGAAGTTAGCAGGGACAAACCAGATTGAGGGGAAGCAGTGTGAGCCAACCAGACAACAGGGTTAAATCAGGCCCCGCCCCCTGCTGACTGCGACAGAAGAGCATTGTGGGCATGAGCTGAGGGTGCTACAGGTGCTGGTGAGGGACAATCTGGAGACGAGACGACGGTCAGGAAACACAAATGTCAAACAGCTCTTTGAAAGGTGAGGGGGCGTGGTCACCACAAACCCCGTCCCCTCTACACAGCGGCCATCTTTTCTCGAGGACTGCTACTGCTGCTGCTGCCGCCGCCGCTGCTGCTGTTATTATTATTGTTGTTGTTGTCATGGCCACCAGGGGACGCCACAGCACTCTGCGTCCTATCAGAGGCCTTGGGGGCGGAGTCTCTGTCTCCAGGAGCAATGTGGGCAGGGCCAGGTGAGGACAGGGAGGAGGTGCGGGACAAGGAGGGGCGGTATGCTGCCGTTAGCTCGGCCAGACGCTCTGGAGTTGGAGCCCACTTCGCAAAACCGGCGTCGTTCTGTAGGAAGAGTACTGCAGTACCGTGTACTGCCCGGTAGTACATCTCATCCCTGAAAGTACACAGAGAATTATGGTACTGCGAGTATCAGCACAGAGATCTCAGTGGCAGTACTACAGTAGCACAGTCCCAGTGCAGTAACAGTATCCGTGTAGGACTGCAGTACCTCTTGCAGATGTGCTGGCTGCCTGAGCGGTACTCGTGTTCGTAGGCCGGGACGCTCAGCTGGTGACGGAGGAACCGACTCCCTTCCATGCGGGTCAGAGCCGGCGTCACCGGGTCACGCCACTCCGGGACAAAGACAATAAAGGACAGCGGCTCTGAGGACTGGTCCAACAGGTCCTGATAGAGATGGGACAGAGTCAGAACCACTACATGCGGAGGCATTTCATAGCTCAGGTGGTAGAGCGGGTAGTCCGCTCATTGTGAGGTACGAGTCCCTCAGGCGAGAACACACACATTGTAAAGCACTTCGTAGAAGCTGTCCCAGGTTAAAAAGGTGCAGACTATGGACCAGTATGGAGCAAAACCAGTGCACGCTAGTATAGAACCAGTACAGAGCAGCAGATGTACTGACCTCGAAGTGCGTCACCATGGTGTCCATCAGCTCCTCACAGAACGGAGGATTCGCTTCAAAGGAGCCGCTGACGGGACAGAAAGACAGGAACGGCCTGGAAACACAGTCAGGATACTGGTTATACTGGAGCACTGCAGTCCTACACAGGTGTGTGCAGGTGTGGGCAGGTGTAGCAGCGTCTCACCCTCTGGATCCGAAGAAGCCGTCGATGTCAGGGAAGGCGGAGCAGAACTGTTTGAAGTAGCAGTTGAGTGGCGACGCAAAACACTCGAAGGAAACACCAAACTGTCGGTTCAGCGCCTCAAACACTGTAACTGGCAGCGCTCCCTGCAGGCCCGTCCCCTCGTTGGCGCCACTGCCAAACATCACCTGGACACAGACACACCTGTTTAATGCTGAGCGGTCACCACGGTGACAGCAGCTGAAAGGCTACCAGAGTCAGCTGACCTGGTATCTCTTGAGGAGGCACCAAACTCTGGACAGGAACTTCTCAAAGCGAGGGTCATCTATACAGCTGTACCTGTACAACAGCTCCTGGACAGGTGAGACACAGGTAGAGAGTTATCACACTGAGACAGGTGGACGGATGTCTGTTCACTCAACACTCCACCTTCACTGTTTCTCAACAAAGGTCATCATCAGAGTAGGTACTGTAGCAGGTACCTGAGGGAGTACTAACCAGCTTGCTGAAGTGTCCTCTGTTGACTTTGACCATCTCCCCTCTGAAGCGCAGACAGGCCACGTCGTTCTCGAAGTGCAGCTCCACCCGGGGCAGCGGCGGCGACGGGACGGACAGACGGACCGGGTAACAGTAGACGAGGCGGGACTGTGGCGGCGACGCACACGCCTCTAAACACACCAAACACGGACACAGGTGAGTGTCATCATACACACAGGACAGCAGCCTCAGGTGTGTGTGTGTGTGTGTGTGTGTGTGCGTACCTGTGGGCGGGTCCTGCAGCAGGCTCAGGTGTGTCTGTCGCAGGCGGCGGCTGTACTCTGCAGACAGCTGGTAGATCTTGGAGCAGATTCCCTCCACAGAGTCTTTGGCGACGGCGGCGACGTGAGGTCCACACTGCTGCCTCAGGTGCTCCAGGCGGTCCTGCAGACACACAGCGGTCACACCTGAGCTGATGCACCTTCTCTACCTGTCTACCTGTTTTAAAGGTGATTTGAAAGGGGAAGACTGACTGCACACCTGAACCTGACATCCCAGCAGGTAAAAAAGAGCCTTATCGTTTTCTGGCGTGCTGAACTAGTGCACCACATAAAATCTAGTATTTTCCATCAGCCGTGTAAGAAAGTGAAACCATAGAACATCCTGGACTCGATACGCAAAGTGAAACACTTCAATCCTTCTGGGCTCAGAGGTCACAGTTACCATGTAGTCCTCCTTGCTGGCAGAGTGATCTCGGCGCAGCCAGCTCATGGTGTCCTCAGCGTTCCACTTCACCACCTTCCTGCTCTCCGGACTGGCGTTCCTGCAGGTCACACGTCAGAGGTTAGAGGTCAGAGGTCAGATGTTAGAGGTCAGAGGTCAGACGTTAGAGATCACACATCAGAGGTCACACATAAGAGGTATCGGAGGTCTGCCTGCCTGCTGGCAGCTGACCTCAGCACCATGAAGCTCTGTGACTGGTCAGCTGTCACCTACCTGGAATCAATCATCTTCTTGGCAGCTTCAGCGTATTTGAACAGAAGCTTCCGGGCCTCCTCTTTGTACTTAATGCGAGACAACCTGACAAAATATCAGAAACCAATATATCATCAATACAGGATGAGTCATTAAACAAATGATTAACATGTAATCAATAAGTAATCGCATAATCAATATATAATAAATAAAAATGTTCAGTTTCTTACAACTGATCAGTTTAAAGTCACACGTTCAGACAGACAGACAGACGGACAGGTGTACAGACAGACAGGTACCTGATGGGGATGTCGTTCATCACCTCTCTGAACATGGACGGGGAAATCACCGGCTCACAGTCGCTCGGCAGTAACGGGTCGTGACCTTTATCGATCACTTTCCTCTCCAGCAGCCAGCGGTTAAAGGACTCCCGGGGCGGATCAATACCTGCACAGGTGGACAGGCAGTGGGACAGGTGGAGAGACAGACAGCTTGTTAACATTCAGCTCACTGGCTGTCAGCGCAGTTCAGTTGTCCAGGTGAGTTCCAGGCTGGATCTCAGGCAAACGGCTGTATTTCTACCTTCAGGTGAAGCAGCGAGTCAGGAGCAATACTGTGTTCCTCTAATGAGCTCACGTTTCCTCTGTACAGGTGACCGGCTCAGTCATGTGTTACAGAGACTGTCCAGGTGTCGCTGTCCACACCTGATTACAGGTGAGACTGAAGGCTACAGGTGAGACTGAAGGCTGCAGGTGAGACTGTCGGTTACAGGTGAGACTAACAGCTACAGGTGAGACTGTCGGTTACAGGTGAGACTAACAGCTACAGGTGAGACTGAAGGCTACAGGTGAGACTGAAGGCTACAGGTGTTGTCCGGTGATGCGTACCTTCCCTCTGGTGGCACAGCTCATGGTAGTGTTGTCTCAGCTTGGTGACCAACTGCGCCCTCTGCAGTTCAATCTCTGGGTGGGGGGGCAGGTGTCCGGCGGGGGCGTGTTCTCTGATCACGGCGTTAGTTTGGATGTCCAGGTCCCAGTAGATCCTAAAAACAACCAGACCATTGATTAAATCTTCACCAGGAACACCAGCAGGTAGCAGGAGCAAGCGAGGCCTCTGCACTCACACTGTTGGTCGGTACGGCGCGGGGGCGGGGCTTGGGGTCGTGGGTGTGGCCGACTGGGCCTGTTTGTCCTCGGGGGCGGAGCTCCAAGGTTTAACCCCGGGAGTGCTCGGAGAGATGGGCGTGGTGGGCTCCACCTGAAACACAAAAAACAACACATTCAGGTAGATGCAGACAGAAACGCCATCACCCGTCCACATGTCGAGCTCGCCAACCACACATGTGCCGGGGAAACCAAGAGCCCTAACACAGCGACTTGGTCTGAGCAGACCGAGTCCTCAGGAATCATCCCTGACTCGTGCTGCAGTTCAATCTGCGAGAAGCTGCCATTCCTTGTGTGATACGAAGGCAGAGCCGCCGACTGCAGCGTCAACAGAACCTCGGGTTCTGATGGTTCTGTTTATCGGCCTGAATGAACGGCCACAAGTCACCTGGTTGGTCAGCCACATCACATGACCAGCGGCATCTTTTGTTGCTTACCTTCGCACGTTTGAAGCTGTTAGGCCCCGCCCCCTGCTCTTCAGAGCTCCTCCTCTTCCTCTGGCCGTTACCGAGGTTACTGTCTCCGCCCTCTGCAGGAGCGGCATTCAGACCTAAAGGATCGGACTGTAAACACAGCGATCGATAAATAGCTGCAGGTCGTTTGCACACATTTCACAACCACCACAGACAAAGTTTGTTGTTTTTAATGAGAACAGTTTTTTGGACTGTTGGGGGCGGGACTCACGATGACATCGTGCTGACCCAGCACTGGCACCTCCCACAGGCTCTGATTGGTGAACCTGTTGAAGTAATAGGGCCGGTTCTCCCTCCGAGACCAACACTTGGACCAACCGGCCTGGACCAGCTCATCTACAGACAGACAGGTGAGAAACGGACAGGTGAGAGAGTGAGACAGATGGAGGAGAGAGCGAGACAGGTGAGGCAGACAGGCATACCTGGGAGCTCAGGTGATTTAGTGGCGGTGGACGGAGAAAGGGGCGGTCCCTGAGAGGAGGCGGAGGCTGAGGGAGAGATCAGCATGGCCGCCTCCCCCTTCACCGCTCCCTGGCTGTCATTGGACATCTCAACTGCTCGTCAGAATGACATGGACCTGCCTGGACAGAAGAGACAGGTGACGTCTGTGTGACATCAGAGCAAGTGTACATTGTGTGTACCTGTCAGTGTGAGTCCAACACATTCACTCAGACACAACACAGTGAACTGAGGGAACAGAACAGAACCAACCAAGTATTAGTATTCTGTGATCATACATGGGTCTGATTTATGGGCCTTGATACCGATCATCTGATCGATACTCTGGCGGGCTTCCCTGCTGAGTGCCACTGATCAGCTGGAGGTGGATGACTAGTGAGCAACAGAAGATCAATAAGCAGCCACTTTGATCATCAATGAGTGTATTGAAACGGGACTGGGAGCTGATCAGATAGATTATTAACAGTCGTGTTCGGACAGATGCCGTCTGATTTCGGGTCCAGTGGTTGCGGTCGGTGACTCCGGTTGACACGCTGACAGACTGATCGGTAACACCGGGCTGAGCTGTTGGTTTTGGCGGCAAACAGCGGCCTCATGGACACATCTGATCACATCTGATCACAGTGATCGATCAGCGGCTCGGTGTGCGTGTGTGTGCTGACGAACTGCCGCGCGCTGTCGATACCTTTGATCGTGTTTTCGTTCTCATACGCAGAAACGAGCGCCATGGTTACACGCATGCGCCTGGCAGGCTTTCCAAACAAACAAGGAGGGGGAGGGGGAGGAGGGGAGGACAACAAAAGGCTGCGGCTGCTCCTCCGGTTCCCGGGTTCTCCGCACGGACACGGCGGCGGTCTGTACGGGTCCACGGCGGCACCGAACCGGTCCGGAGCGCCGTGAACGCGCATAGAGGCAGCGGCCCGCCGTTGGTTCGGCCGTTAGCGGCCATTTGGCGCGGCCCGCTCGGCTCGCGCTCAGAGACGCAGCTGCAGTTCAGGCGCCACTCAGCTCACAAGATGGCGGACACGCCCCTGCCACAGCGCCGCGCGCCCTCCGCAACATTTCTGCTCCGTTCCGCAAACCCTGCCGCCCCGCGGGGCTCCAACCGGGATCAACCGGAGCCCGGAGCCTTCCGCCGCTTGTCGGTGCGGTCGGAGCGGACCTAAAGGGCCGCCTGCTCTTACCTTGACCGGGGAAGTATCGGACAGCTGCAGGTTCTGCGCGCTTGTTTCGGGTCCTCCGCTCCGCTCCCTCCCCGCCTGCTCAGACATCTTTACAGGGACCCGGGCTGAGCCAGTGCGCAGGCGCGGCGGCCGACCCGCTTCCTGTCCCGAGGTGTACGGTTACCGCCGCCATGTTGGAGAGGTCAACGAAGCAACATAAAACCCAGAAAACACGAAATGTGTTGAAAAACTTTATGTATTTTTAAAAAAAAAAAACCATTAAATATGCCTAATACATCTGAAAACTGAAAACGTGAACAGAGGCTGAAGTCCAAACACTCAAAACATTCTGGAAAACACAAGAAATTTGTTAAAAATACTAAAAAAGGCCTTACAAATACAAGAAATGTGTTTATAAATCCCAAAACATGTTAAAAAAGCACCAAAAATCTTCTTAAAATACAAAAAAATCTTTTAAAACATGCATTGAAAGTACCTGAATTCTGTTCAAGACTTGTGTAAAACATCTGTACTCTGTAAATATGTCAACAGAGGATAAAATCTGAAAATTCAAATCATCCAGAAAATACTAGAAATTTGTAAATACATGAAATATGGTGAAAATGCAGACATTCTTAAAAATATACAAACTATGTTTAGAACTTCTGAAATCTGGGAAAATATTTAGACAGAGGCTAAAGTCCAGGAATATGTTAGAAAATAAAACATTCACAAAATATCTTTAAAAATACATTATTTCTGTTAAATAAATAGATACACAAAATGTGTTTAAAAAATACATTAAATCTGTTAAAAATGTATAGAATATGTTTAAACCATCTGAAATCGGTAAAACAGAAGCTGAAGCCCAAACACCCTAATAATAAAAAAAGCACAACATCTGGTAATGTGAATAATTGGTTTAAAAAGCAACGATCTGAACCTGAAAACAGTTAATTGCGAGGACTTGTTATATCATCTTTTCATGTGGTTCTACACACTCATGTCTGTATTAATCCGTCTCTTGTAAATTTCATCGTGACTGTTTGCAGTTTTAATATGCACCACTGGATGGCGCAGTGTGAGCGTGATACTGACTGAATCCTGTTCTTGAACCAAATCACCCTCTGTTGGTTACTGTGGTGTGAACTATCACATGAAGCTCAAACACCTTTTTAAAAATTTACGGCGACACACATCACTCAAACATATCTGACCTTTATTTTGTGTTCACAACAGACATCATGTTGTCACAGTTCATGCTGACCACAACAAACTGAGACTTTATTAGTTTAACAGTCAGGCTCATCCGCACAGCAACTGAAGGGTTAACTCTCCTGTAGAAACACAAGCAGCTTCAGAGGTCAGAGTCAGGTCCACGTTCAGGTCAATCAGCAACAGAAGCAGCAGTTTCCATCCAGAGCCGTGAGTTCTTATACACCTGTAAGTGTGTCTATGATATTATCTGTGGTCAGAGGTCAGAGCTCACACTGTTCTCCTGCTCCAGCAGCAGGTCGACCGCAGCCTCCACGTCCTCCACCAAGTGACTCGGCTCCAACAGGTCCGGCTCCAGCACCAAGTCTCTGTGACCGTGAAACACCGACTCTGAGATACCGCTGTTCTGGTCGCTAGGCAGCAGGGAGTGAGGCTTATAGACACCTGTGCACACCTGAGGACAGGTAGAAAACCTGAGTTCCTGACACAACACTGATGCTCTCTGATTAGATATTCTAACACATTCACTGCCATCTTACTTCAGATTTTTTCAGATTGCAGGTTACTGACGATACAGAAACCGAGAGCGGTCATGGCTGCACATTTTTTAAAACGAACGCCGTTTTCCCGAGATAACGGGATAATTATCTGGAGAAAACGAACGCCGTTTTCTCCAGAAAACGAGATAATTATCCCGTTATCTCGAGAAAACGAACGCCGAACGAGATAATTATCCCTGGATACTGATGCCTGTGTTTACAAAGAAAAGAGTGACACTCTGGAGTGCAGCAGTGACTTTGCCGAGAATGGACTGAAAACGTCAGATCGAGGATCATCTGTCATTGATGAACGCATCAGACTTTACTTCTCTCGAGGTCTGACACAGGCTGAACGAAGTTGGTTTTCTCGAGATAAATTATCTAGTTTTCACGAGAAAATGATTCTTGTTATCTCGAGATAACGAGAAAATTAACTCGTTATCTCGAGAAAACGGCAAAGAAAGAACAGCAGTGGAAAACGACCGCTCTCGGCTTCCGTATGACGACACTGAACTTACTGTCATAACGGATGTAGCGAATGGACACAGAGGGTTTGGATACCAAACAGTGAAAATGGTGTTACAAATACCTAGAATGTGTCTGAATGATTTTATTGTGAAGGACCAGCGCCGTAAAAAGCATCTTCAATTCAGTATTTTGTCTGGTTTTATTTTTGTGTTTCAGTTTTGTGTCTATCTGATCATCTAAGTGTCTCGTATTCTAATTACGACAATTTTATTCTTCTTCGACAGTAAGTACTGTTGTTTATTATTACTGACCCCAATATGATGACGTTTCTGTAAAGCATGAAATATACGTACCAGAATAGAGTGACACTGAGCAGCACACACCACCTCCTCCTCTGCCACTGTCACCTGACTCCCTATTCCCTGGGCAACCACCTTGGCAGCAGTCGTCATGGCAGCATGCTGCTGGGCCAGGTAACGGTTATACAGGTTAGCACCATAGATGTCTGTCATCAGGTTGTCACTAGGCAACAAGAACAAGACAGAGTGGTTGGTGTTACAGGTGGTC